GTTGGCCTCTGTTATATTGAAAATACGAAAGAAAGTGTTTACCTATACTGGTATGTTTAGAGAAATATGTAGTCGTTACTGGTGAGCGCTCCTGTTGACTTATAAGCAGCGTGACGGATTCAGTCAGACCCAAGGGTTCCTTATTGTTACTTCATTAATATTAGGTCTACCAAAAATTACAAATTGAGGAGCTGGCCAACAAAACGGTATAATTACGCATCTGGTCAAACTACATTTTTTTACAGTCTGGAGGTTTCGGGCCCGTTGAATTTGAATCTCAAATCATTTTCATCAAAACCACCTAAAACAGTGTTAATAAACAGAATTTATAAATTAAAAATCCATGCCGAAAGGTAGATATGTAGGTATGTCATTCAGTTTTATACAGCTTCTGTAAAATTTAATTTTATATAATTATACCGTTTTATTCACCAGCTCCTCATTAATATTAACTGTCTTGCATGCTGGATGAGAATACCCTTTTTTTTAGTTTAGTGACAATTGTCTGGTATTGCGGCGTTGTACGAATGATATCCCACTGAAAGACGGCCGGCACAAATGTAAATAGTAGGCTATCTATCTGATAGGATAATATAGAATTGCAGCAACAACAGAAGTCTCGAAACTCTGAAATTAGAAAAAGAGATTGTCAATTATTTGTTTAAAGATGTTGAACCACTGTTTAACTAGTCTAGTTAAAACTTCCAAGTGGTGTAATAGAACTAATTACTTAGACATACAGGATAGTTAAGGCCATCACAATGAACACTTGCACTAACAATATTTCTAAGTATATTGTGTAATAAATGGACTGTCAATGTCCACCAAGGACTCTAGCTACTGTAACTTTTTTGGGCTGAAAGACATATTGGAAATAAATGACGTAACGTTTTGAACGAATGATATAAATGAAGATGTTCAGCAGGCTTTTGTCCATTATATTTAAAGTGAAAGTGCTATTCTCTCCTTTGTCGAAAGTGGTGTGAATGTTCAAATTTTTCATTACACACAATTTCGTGTAATCTTCATTACAGTTATGGCGGTCGCTGTGATGAAAATAGAATACAATGGAGACTATTATGATAGATTTATCGAATTCAAGCCTCATTACAGTACTAAAAATTAAAAACCTATTCCAACAAAGAATTAGTGGTATTTCAAAGAGTTTGTTCTTTATACAAAAATTATTTAGATTTATCTAGAAAGTTAAACTCAAGTTTCTATACAAAAAAAAAAAATACCATCCGTGTCAAGTAAAATGTACCAAGATATAAAAGTTTTGCAGTAAATGCTCAAATAATAAAATATAATAACTTGTTTGTTCTAAGTTTCTCATTTCCGCAAAACTAATACAGGTTATGAGGTCACTTTAAATTGCGCATAGCGATTGAATCTTACGCGATGATTCGGCAAATATAGGAAACCACTAAATAATCTATTATGGTGGTTTAAAATTACCTTTTACTCTGTTTTGAGCAAATGTGAAGCTAAAATTAAGTTGTTCAAATATTCTTTAACGTCGAAATTTCTTACAGAGATTTCCTACATTCTTGAGCTAACTGAACTTACAGAATGTGGAAAGATTGTTTGTAGGCATAGAACTCAAACCACATTAATATAACGAGTTAAGTAAATATTCCATTAAGTAATACTTAATAATTTTACTTCTAAAATTTGTACTGTCTAGTTTAGTAGCTACTAAAAAGCTGTAGTACTAATATTGACGGTAAAAAAACTGAGTTAATTCAAGCCAGTCCCTTGGAAATTGGTCCATGCATAATGAGAGGATCGTGTAAATATTGCCTCCCTTACATGCCTTTGCCTTGCCTTACTCCTTAATTATTAATCATTCTACTTCGGTAAGTGCTTTAGTGAGTGAGTACGTTCATCCCTAGACCGAAGAAAATGTCTTCACGCGTAATGAAAGGTTCACGTCCTGAGATATTATGCTATTAAATTATAAACTCCGGAAGGTTTTCACGTGAGACTAAGCACAGCTTTCACGTTAGGTACTCTCTTAAACGGGTCGATTTAGTCCAGAAACAATAGAGACAGGTTGATAGACTTTTATAAACTGTAATGAAAATATATCAGCTGCTATTTGAAGCCTTTGATTATTTCATTAAAGTTGGAGGCTTTGGCCGTAATTAATTAGTGGATTAAGATTTTTTCTATTCTTCATCGTTTAGCCATTGACATTCAATATTAACTTCAATGCCGCGGCCTACCAGAACTTTGACCATTTAAAAACTTCATTAAGTACAAACAAATTAATTGATAAACCACTAACAGTATCCACGATGTTTCACTTGTTTTTAATTGAGAAATAAATATGATATTTACGTTGTAAGATAAAATAATCGGTATTAAGATCTTAGTATTTTGTTGTTTTATCAACATCCTTAGTCCTTATACACAAATAATTTGGAACGATTCTTAGTGTCGCCGCACACGGGCCACCGACCACAACCACAAAACGCCGCCACCAGCATATTTCTTGTAGTTTTCATACATTTTATATGGACTCACCACACACGGTACTCCGGTGGCCGCCACACGCTACAAATCGTCGTTGCTCGCTTCTTGTGGCCTGCACCGGCCACTTAAAAATACGCCGATACACGTCACTCGTGCGATTCCCCACCCCTCTCTCCCTTTCCTTAGTCGGCTGCTGTCGCGCGCTTCAGCCACTTTAGTAGCCGCTTCTAGCTTCTTGTGGCGGCGTTTGTGGCTGTGGCGTGTGGCCCGTGTGCGGCGACACTTAGTGCTTCATCATTGTTGTCACACTGGAAAATGATAAAGTTAAGAAGTATAATTCGTTCTATAGAAATGGAATCCAATTCCGTCTTTGATAATTTGTGATTTATGGGGCTGGTCTGGTTTTCGTAAATTATCCATTTACTTTTACGCTCCCTTTATTTTTTGTCTCCCTTATAGGACTGGGCAGACAAGAATAAATGCTATTAACAAGGGGTGGTTCTCAAATATTATTGTAAGCGGCAAGTTGGCGACCTATTACTATTGGTCCTCAACTTAGACTGAACCGATTCCAAAAGCGGCATCGATACAATTATGACAGTGATAAGATAACAATTCGTCGATTTCATATTTTATTTCTAAAGTACATTTTAGGCATTTAGAGCTCAACTATAAGAGAAAGCTAAAAGAAACCAAAGTCAGTGAAGAAAGTCAAAGTATCATTAGAATAAAGATTTTTTGATTTTGAATGTATGCTAATTGATTGCTTTTTAAAGTTTGGTATATTCCATTCGGTATTTATTGAGACTCTAATCGTTTTTTTCTTAACAATTTAATAATAATAATTTAATATTTAATTAATAATAATAATAGTCTAGCCCCAAAGTAGGCAAAGCACTGTAGGCAAGGCTTGTGTTATGGGATACTAGGGTAACGGATAGTATACATATACTGTACATATATAAGTATATTTGTATAGAAAAACATATTTAATATCTATGACTGGAGTACAAATGCTCATATTCATCACACAGACATCTGCCCCCATCGAGATTCGAACCCGGGGACCTCTCGAGTCGGCGTCACCATGAAACCCGGCGTACAAAGCACTCGGCCACGAAGGTCGTTAAACGTTTCAACATTGCATCATCAGAATACCGCAGGCTAGGAGCGTTATTTACACAATTCTGTTTTTCCTGTTTGTCGACGAAAATTAATAAAAATCCAATTACTACCCAACTTGTACATGCTTTATTTTCAAGAAAATTGGAACATCGTACCTACATGAGATAAATTGGGTCTTTCATTTCATTAACCAGGCTCAAGCCTATTAAAAGTTGCGTTAACGCTTATCTTCCCAATTAAATGATGTCATCGATACGCATAATGTAAATTTTTTTGGTCGTTAAGCAAATTTTATTCCGTGAACTGACTTTCTAATAAAAAATTGGAAGATCGTACCTACATGAGATAAATTGGGTCTTTGATTTCATAACCAGGTCTCAAGCTTAATAAAAGTTGCGTTAACGCTTATCTTCCCAATTAAATGATGTCATCGATGCGCATAATGTTAATTTTTTTGGTCGTGAAGCAAATTATATTCCGTGAACTGACTTTCTAATATACTATAATACCTATGCATTCTCTGCAGTTACTTAACGCTTTTATATTCACCAATGATTATAACTTTTCATGTTTCATGCAAGTGAGATTCAAAATGCTATATGTGCTGCCCTAACCAATCTCAGATTCTCGGAGTTATGGCGACCTTGTAGCAGGGACATAAGGTTATTTGTAGGGATGTAACGATACATAATTTTGCCGATACGATACCGATTTTTGTACTAAAAAATCGGCTATAACGATACCGATATCCATGGCTTAATAGTTATTTTTTCCAAAATGTGTTATAAAGTAGCTTGTTTTTAAGATGGCGGACCAGTGTCGGTTTTTGAGGTAAATGAGGTGTGGTATTCCAACTCCTTTTCATGATAGCGCTTCACGTGTGACCACATGTTACTTGTCGTGTAACCCTTCTGTCCGTCCCACAGTCCTCACTTCTCTGTATGAATAACTAACTAAACAGAAGCACAAATTGCTAAAGTAAAACAGGCGCGAAATATTACATTTCCCAACCAAAGCCAAGCGAACACTCGTTCACATGACATTGGCGGAGATGTGATAAGTCACAACGCAAGCCATCATAAAGAAGAAGAAGAAGAACACTCGGTCGGCCAGCGTGGAGGTACTCATGCCGTGCCGTGCCCGCGCTCGCTATGATAGAGTGGCAATGTTGGCGCCTCATTCGTTTCGCGCGCTTTTAGAACTGCTCGATATCGATGGTATTATTATCGGTGATGCCGATATATCGGTCTCCCGATTATATCGGCCGATAAATCGGTATCGAAATCCATCCCTAGTCATTTGACTCCAATTCTCCATTAAATGAAATATACTAATTATTTCTGTTTGGGAACTTTACTTTAATTTTATATTATTCTAACGTAAGCATTTCATTGCAGATTTACCAGCACCTGCGCTGGTACACGAACCCGTCGGAGCAGCGTTGGATCGTGCGCATTCTGTTCATCGTGCCCATCTACGGCTGCTACAGCTGGATCTCGCTGTTGTTCTTCAACAACGACTCGTACTACGTATACTTCTTTACCGTCAGGGATTGTTATGAAGGTACGTGTAAAAATATATCTGCTTGACGGCAATGCTGTTATTCTTTTGTTCCCAATTTAGGGAACAAAAGAATACCAGCAAGTTTTCACTTGTTGAATTAACCAACTTTTCATACATTTTGGGAAGAGAAGTTCTTGGACCAGTCCAGTATCAAAATTGTGTAGTTGGCCTTGGGGTTTTGCAATGAGACTGATATTTTGTCCTTAATGTTTTTCACGAGATATTTATGCCAGTTTGTTTGTCGCCTTGGTTCGATGATCTTTTTACCCGGTTGGCTATAAATAATACTTCTCGTGACCATATTTTTAATGCCTGCCTTTTTTAGTACTACCTAATGAAGTTTCTCTTGAAGTTAATTCTACAAAAGGATTCAACTTGTAACATACAGCAATTTCTGCTGTGGCGATCTGTAACGGATAAAAGTAATTCATGCATGATTTTGTCACAAATGGCCACAGATCACCATAGTTCAAGCCATCAGCCCGGATATAGCGGAATACGTTTTAGTTTTTTATAGTAGTTTTTTTCTTAATTCCGTCAGCATGTTGGATCGATTTGACCTCGACCAATTTGAATCGATAGAAAACTTGTCATATCAGTTATCTTCAGAAAAAGAAATGAAATGCAAGAGTGAATTGAATGTATCTTTAAAATAGTGCTTAAAATACAAGATCATTTAGAACGAGTCTTTTGTAATTATCTTTACCTTTGCGAAACGCTGGACAAATCTCAAGGTCCGTTTTCTAAAGATTTGTTGTTTTTCATCTATTATAATAAATTTTTGTTTAAATCTAAAGCAAATTTTTCTTATCAATTCTTCTCCCATGTTATTTCTCTAATCATATTATATATGTTATATTTTGTATATTTATAAGTGTTATCAATAATAAAATGATTACTACAGGGAATTCTAATATCAATAATCTTATTCTGAAAACCAGCAATCTTTTTATTTAAGTATTTTGTTTCTGTAGTCACATAAATATTTTTAAGAATTCTTCTATCTTCAAATTATTTGGCAAACATAAATTCTAATTTAACTTTGCGACTGTGTTCTGTTTTGTAACAGTATTAATTGTATCATTATGTATTTTTTTAGATTGACACAAATACTATAATAACCTTTCGTTTGAGTTTGTATGGGGCATTTCCTCTTGAGTTATTTTAAGTGGTCGATGTCCTCCTGCATGGTACCTTTTAGCTCTAGTAAACCAAAAGGGTCATCAAAATGAAAAATCGCGATATTTAACACTTGTGGAATTGTAATGTCAGTATGGACCCATTTATATGCTAATGATTTCATACTCTCAAGTAAATTTATATGTGGTTCCTCATAGTTCCAAACGGGTTTCTTTTGTTTTCTTTTAGGGATCCGTACCCAAAATGTAAAAACGGGACTCTATTACTAAGAACCCACAGACAGACGTCTGTGCCTATATCTCATGAACGGAACCGCGATAGACAGTTAAAATTTTCACTGATGATGTTTTTCTGTTGCCGCTATAACAACAAATATTAAAAACGGAAATTAATAAATATTTGAGGGGGCCTCCCATGCAACAGATGTGATTTTTTTAACGTTTTTTACGCGATTTTATAACATAGTGTCTAATGTTGTATAGATAATCGTACGGAATCATACTGCGAGTCTGACACGCACTTGTATTTTTTTGTAGGTAATAAAGAATTGTCTTCTATTCTGCAGCGTTCGTGATCTATAGCTTCCTATCGCTATGTTACGAGTACCTTGGCGGGGAAGGCAACATAATGTCTGAGCTGCGCGGGCGACCCGTCCGCGCCTCCTGTATGAACGGCACCTGCTGCCTCTCCGGAGCAACCTACACGATTGGTTTCCTGCGCTTCTGCAAGCAGGCCACGCTGCAGTTCTGCCTCGTCAAGCCACTATGCGCATTCATCATCATATTCTTGCAGGTAAGACATCTTTAAGTGATAATGATAAGCAATGTTATGAACATTAATTTTGGGAAGTTAGCAGGTTTTAAAGGGCAATGTCCAAAATAGGCTCAGCATGGACAAGGTGCTTGGCAAACAACAATTTTACAATATTATTTTATAAATTTATTTTAACCAAATTCTGTAACCGTAATATAATGTAGAATTTTATTATTAATAGAATAAAATTAAATGGAAATAATACAGTCACTTCCTACCATTAGTTATCTAATGTCACATGATAGAAAACGGCTGTAATTAGTCTAATTGAAGTTAGCATCACATCATGTCAGTGAAAACGGCTAGGATTGGCCGTATCTAAGATGATATTGACAGATAAGGGCTGCGTTCCACACATACACTCCAGATGCAACAAATGTCAAATTCGATGGAAGTTTCATACATTTATGTCAAAATTAAAACGTCACAATGAAAAGGTGCACTTCGTGCCTAGGTTTGGAACGCACCTAAGCTGTTGAAACAACACTGCGCTTTTTCATTTAGATATTTGGTATTATGCATGTGACGTGACACGCCAAATTGCGCAATATTATTTTTTCGCGGCATATTTAAAGAATAGATGTGTATTTTCAATTTTATTTATTTGTGTAATAGAAAATGTATCTACCTAGTGTCTAGACATCGTATTGGTGATACAATGACTTCGAATATTAAAGATCATTGCGAAAATGACTTCCTTGTGCTTATATCCCCCTTTTTCATCGTGGTGCTAAAAATTAGTTTAAAGGATACTGATACAAAATTATAATGATTCAAAGCTTCTGAATAATTTAAGCTTCTTGCATTGTATAGTTTTACTTATTAAAATGTCAGTCCATGTTAAGTCAAATTCCCACACAAAGAGGTTTTTTACTCAATAAGACATTTTGTTACTTAATAAGACTTAGTTCAGATAGTCGTGCGTTAAAGGAGTTCAGATGACCAGCGATAACACACGGTTAGCCTCATTCATTTTTCGCTGCCCCATAAGTTTGCACGCCACAAGGCGCCCGGATCATCTGAACAATACTTGACTAAAGGAACTCACTCAATGCGCGCTCGTATCAAGATTCTAGCAACGGAGCAGCGACGGTCGCGCTATCATCTGTACTGTCCTGTGTAGTGATTTATTAACTCTTTACGCGCTGTCGCCCGACCATCTGAAGTTAGCCTTAAAAGAATACAAAAAGTTTGCTATCGGGGTTAGGAATTATGTATACCGAAAAAAAGACAAGAATATTATCATAATACGAACTGCACAACAAATTTAAAATGATCGATACATATTTTGATAGATAGCTATTGTGTGAGATCATATTGATCCATGGGTAGAAGGATGTCTTTTCGAAATTCTAATGTTTGACTCTCGTCCCATAAAAGGTTAAAGTGGAGGATGTAAGTTACGACTTTTGGAATATGTTCCACGTAGCCTAAAAGCTAGGACTAGTATAATATAATCACTTGCTGTGATCTGCGAATACAACAGTTTCATCCCAACGTCAAGGTCGGGTTGAAGATAATATCATACAAATTGTAGACCGAACGAATGTGGGTGTAACAAGGATACAAAGATAAAAGGATCCACTATAATAGTTGAAAACCATTGTTGAGTCTGTTTATATTTAAACTGCACCAGTGTTTACTATTGTATTGTTGAAACTATAAACAAAATCTTGTGACAATGTCTGAACAAAGGAGGACGTTAGAAATTTCATTCACGATAACCTATTATGTGAAAATAATTTTGTTGCATATAATCTTATACTGTGTGATGTGCCAATTTTGTTGTAGGTACGATATATTTTAACCTCAACGGAATTTCAAATCAATGTTAATAATTCATTCGAATGCCAATAGTGTTGCGATTTTCCGCTCTAAGTGGAACAGCTCTCTAGGGAAGTAACCTCCAATAAACAGGATACCATAGTGAAATAACACAGCATTTTGGTTTTGTTTAACTTTGTCAGTAAAATTTTTAGTTCTTTGGGTACATGTAAAATTGCAGTGAATATTGTAAACGAAAAATAACCTTGAACTTGTTACACTGTGTTTTCATTTCACGTCGCGTCGCTCTATCGACATTAAATGTAATTCAATAAACAAGAAAAAATAATGAGTAGGTTACTAGTTCAAGCTTATTTATCTATATGGGAGTTACATTATACCTTATACCCTCATGATTGGTAATCCACAAACAAGTCAAGCATTTGAAACAGCCTGCTCTGTTCTCAATTAGTTTTGTGTGTATTTCTCTTTTGTATTAATGCCTATATCGTAAAATTCCCCTTTTCTCTCCTCTGCACCTATTCATATTCATCGGCTAACTTAACATTACCGCTTTATTATATTTATTTAAGTATTAAGATAAAACTTATATTTTCGATAAAACAAAACGTGATAAAACTTGATTTGAAAATATTTCACTGTATATAGGCACATCAAAATATATCAACATAATTAAAAACGTCATTGGGAAACGTTTCTTATCTAATCATTATGCTTTGTTAGTCATAATACGACCCGCATACTTTGAAGATATTGTAGTCGTATTACCATCTATGTATTTCTAATGTTTCCAATAAACTATTGTCGACAAGAGATAATCTTGCGCACCTAGGGCCTAATTCATTTCATATTTGCTAAAGAGATTACAGTATGGCACATTGATACTTGCTTTTGGTTTTGGGGTTGCGGAAAGAATATGAACACATCCCTTAGAAACTTTCATCGCCTATTTATGTCCCTTATATTTTTATATTTGTGACAAAAAGTTGTTGATTTCTTTATATCCAAGCGTCGCCATATTCAAATTTATCAGGTATAATTACCCTAGCGTAACAATTTCATAAGTCCATATCCTAAGGTATATAGTATTTTGTTTGCTAATTTGTTGCTATTTTGTGCCGCAAGAATTAATTTTGTTGCTCCAAGATTTCGCCGAAAAAACGCCTGTTACGCTAGTGTAATATTACGCTAGCGAAACCACAGCGATATCTCGGAGGCAAAAGCAGTTAGAGATATCAGATGAACGACATATTTCGTTGCTTATTTTGTTGCTGTAAGATAAGCTGGATTAATATATGAAAAAATATAAGCCCTTCATGGGGGCTAACTACCGTTATGCGTTATTATATCTCAGATTTTTCGTATCTCGTGAACTAAAGCAGCTAGCGGCTCGAGACAAACGGCGTATTTTGTTGCTATAAGATAGGCATGCTGCGAACATCATAATCACAACCCTTATCGGGGAATGACCAACCCCCGACCCCAAGACACCAGATATTTCGTATCTCGTTAGCTAAAGCAGCTAGCGACCAAGACCAACGGCGTATTTTGTTGCTATAAGATAGGCATGCTGCGTACATCATAATCACAACCCTTATCGGGGTATGACCAACCCCCGACTCCGAAGACACCAGATATTTCGTACCACGTCAGATAAAGCAGCTACCGACCCGAGACCAACGGCGTATTTTGTTGCTATAAGATAGGCATGCTGCGTACATCATAATCACAACCCTTATCGGGGTATGACCAACCCCCGACTCCGAAGACACCAGATATTTCGTACCACGTCAGATAATGCAGCTAGCGACCCGAGACCAACGGCGTATTTTGTTGCTATAAGATAGGCATGCTGCGTACATCATAATCACAACCCTTATCGGGGTATGACCAACCCCCGACTCCGAAGACACCAGATATTTCGTATCTCGTGAGCTAAAGCAGCTAGCGACCCGAGACCAACGGCGTATCTTGTTGCTATAAGATAGGCATGCTGCGGTCATCATAATCACAACCCTTATCGGGGTATGACCAACCCCCGACCCCGAAGACACCAGATATTTCGTATCTCGTGAGCTAAAGCAGCTAGCGACCCGAGACCAACGGCGTATTAGTTTGTCGTTCCATTTTAGATGGACATATAAAATATTGCAAAAAAGTCTGGCCAATACATATGAATCAAGAGGTGATTTAACAGTCCGACCGTTTTATAAAAACAATGAACTTTCGAAGCATATTGATGATACGATGCCATCCCTTAAGTACTGCTGACTTGGAAAAATTGTTAAATACTAATTTTATAGGTGGACAAATTATATGTTATCAGTTATATTATGACCTTAGTACATAGGTAGTCGTATTTTTCTTAAAAAGTAATACTTAATTCTCGCAAGTGCTTATTGTACGCAGACAAATGGAACGTCACGCGCTCTGGAAATTAACGATTGTTCAATAGCACCTGTTTAATATTTACGAAGTTACAAAAGATAATCGACAATATTATGTTTGCCTTGAAAATATATACATTTGTAATACCAACCGGCAAGCAAAATTATTTTTTATAACACACTAATGAAAAATTGAGGAGTATAAAAATTTAAATGTCCTGGTAGTTTGTAGTGGATTCTCATAAAAATTATACAAATTGTATAGAGAGCTATGGGCTATGTAACATCACGCTAGGAGCGGAGCATCAATGAAAAAATATGCAAAAACGGGTGAAAATGATCCTTTTGTGAGCTTCCGTTGCGTGCAATGGATAAATGGATAAAGTTACACAAAATCATTTATCAAGGAATTGATCCCTTTTAAAATTTCTATAAAAAAGTCCGCGACAGCATATGTATATCTTTAAGCTTGACTCACTATAACCTTTTCCCCTAATTAACGTGGGCGAAATCGCAGGGGACGTCTTGTTGTGGCATTACTGTAATAGTCACACATATGGTATCGTGAACTTTTGTTTTAGATATTGATATCCTCTATAAAACTTTAGTACATAACCTTGCTCTATTGTCAATAACTTCCGCAGCGTAAGCGATATAAGGTTATTTTATGTTTTTTTTTTTTTTCACACCCTGGGTTATGTTATCGAAGTATTCATCACGAATAATGTAGGATTCTAAACGTGAAAGATTTTTTCAAATCGGTATATATATATATATACTAATTTATTTAATTACCTGCAACTATTTTCCGTTTTATCATACGTAAAGTGTTTTCAACCATGTCATTGTTTTCATTTTACATTTTCAGATAGTTAGAAGATATATATGTTTAGTATTCTATTTATTTTACTATAGATTGGGGTTCCTAGAAATTTATTGAACCTATTACTAAAAGCAGTCGAAATCTATTTTTAATAAGGCATATGAATCACCTTTTTTTTATACACAGGCAAAAAATACTATTTACAGACGACGGCGCCTTTAAGAGGCACACCGCCGAACGGTACTCACACCTGACTCCCGCAAGCCTTACGAGCCCCAGCAGTGGCTGCCACTGAGGACCCCGTAACCCTTACGGGTGCTTTACGGCATAATATCCGCTAAAAAACCCTGCGGATACCATCTAAGCTGCTTAGCGCGAAGCCGCGGGATCCCCGTTTAGGAATTCAACGGCCTGCGCGTGGAGGCTGAGTACGCGGCCTAGTGCCCACCGTACCGCCCCCCGTCCGCTGCGGAGGGCTACTTGGGCGTGCCCATGTAGGTAGCTCCCTCCGCCGCCCCCCTCTTTGCAGGACAGAACTACAAGCGGGGGCTGCCGTCACGGGGTCCTTCGGTGGCCGGCACTGCTTTCGCCATGCCGGTCAGCGAGGGACCCCCCGGGTAGGGTCATGGGTCGGGCGAATCCAGGGCGCGCCGCCGTCCTCTCTTACCCGACCTCCTTTGGCGGGAGGGAGCGGCCAGAGGATCATCCCCTCGTTCCCTCTCAGCCGCCTCCTTCTGCGAGATAACGTTCTTGCAGAAGGAGGCGACTTCCTTCCAGCGCTGCAGTAAGCTCGCGGCGCTGGTGTCGCCAGGCCGGGCACTCCAATAAGGTGTGCTCGGCCGTGTCGTCCGGGGCACCGCAATGATGACATTGCGGCGTTTCCTCCCGACGTGCGACACGGTGCAGATAGTGACCGAAGCATCCATGCCCGGTCAAAATCTGCACCATGCGGAACGTGAGGCCGCCGCGCCGGCGACCCAACCACTCCTCCAACACCGGACGAATAGCCTCAATCGTCCGGTGGCCGGCGCGCAAGGCATATAAATCCCCTGCGAGTAGAATGCATTTAGGATTAAATTCTGTTTGGACATGTTGTTTAATTACCAAGTTAAAATAAAAACTTGGCGGACTGTGAGAACATCATAATAACTATGTAATTCAGTTGTTGAAAAGATAAAAGATTTTTAATATAGCCCTTTGTGCTATTTATAATTTAGTACTTTTTTTGCCGCCCCACCCCAGATATTGGTGATCATTTTAATCTAAGTTACTCTTAATAATTTATTACTTATACGTAGAAATTTAAGGTTATACATACATACATACCTAATAAATGAAGATTAAGTTTAACGAATTTATCGTATTTTTTCTACTTTATTATATCTGTTTTGACTCCATTTATAATACTGGTGCAATCGACCACCGAAGTAGCTGGCGTCATAAATTAGATAGGTACCCAATCGTCGCTTGTTTCAATAATATAAGTAAAACTTAGAGGCGGGCGATCTAATTTGAGCTTTCACCAATGAGGGCAGTCGTTATTTATTAAAACGAGTAAATAAACTTAACCTTGGAACGGCCGTGTAACGGTCATAAAACTAACACCATGCAGTGGAACACGTGGTCGTAAAAGCGAAAGTTATTGTCGGTAGGTAGTAAGCTCTGCTTAAACTTCGGCGTAAAAATAAAGGCGTCAGTGTGTCTCAAAATTGGTAAAGCGTTCATTAATTAATAACACTTTTCCACGTAAACATGTAGGAACATCACTCTAATTACCACACCATAATGACACCATATTTAGCATTGGTTGGAGCTCAAATGTTGTCCAATAAGTACAAAAATAATCGTATGCAACAGTTTCCGAATTCGCCTTGTCCGTTGGATAGACCCTTACTCTCTGCATTAAAAAAATATCAGCTGGAATACATACCTAAAGTCAATTTCCGTGTTATGTTTTAATTACGCTCGAACGAAATTTTCAGAAAAGCTTCATGGTCTCACGTATCATACTCGGAACGGGAGATCGTGATGCGGGTTGCACACCAAGAGCTAAGCTAACTTAGTTTAGCTTAGCTCGCATAGCTGACGCATTTTTTCCATACATGTGTGCAGAATGTAAACTCAACGATATTTAATACCCTAAATATAACATCACGAAAAACACCGTGGCCGAAAACTTTCCAAAAGGTGCATTGCCGATCCACGGAGCTCCGTAAGATGATCTCCGTAAGGTCTTAATTTAAACGCATGCGGCAAACACTTATGACTGTTCGAAATGCAAGCTCGTAAAATTTTACGACTAGTTGCTATAGGCGGAACAATATAGACTTTATTTTTATGACTCTATATCGTAATTCTAAATGCGCTTGCTGTAAGCAATATACTATGTTCGGAGCGCGAGGAAAAGAGACGACTATACAACCGACCATGCATTTCAATATCACAAGTATTTTCTATTAAATCAGTTTATAGTAAATATTAGATCGAAATTTGCTTCAAATGCGTTAAATTAAGAAACATTGAATAGATATACATTGAATACCTGTCAAACAATGTTCATGCACTGCTTGATTGGGACACTTTTTGAGCGTACGTGGTGTATCTAGTGATTAAATATCATTGTGCAAACTATGCAAACTAAGCTTTATGAGCTAATTAAAATATGTGAATCTAAGCAAGTTGTGTATAAGCTAAGCCCCTCCCGCCTGCCCCGCACCCCCTGCGTGCCTTACTGGCCGAGTTTTCGCTTAGTGCTTGGTTTGCACGTGATATATTTTTAGTTCATCCCAGCTAAGCTGGCTTAGTATAGCTTAGTTATAGCTTAGTTTTCGGTGTGCAACCTGCTTGAGAGTTTTCTGAAATGGCGGGTGCCAGATGGCCGCACTGAGCCGAATGCTTCTGTCATTCGTCCAATTGTATATGTCGTCATTGTCTATAAACCAATTATAATGCTCACTCAATGAGAGTCATTAAAAGTATCATAATAAAACTTAATACTAACTACTAACTCGTATGTTTTTTTTCGAGGAGCTCGTTAGTGCAAGTGGTTAGCGCGTTCGGCTGCATCGTTGAAGTTAAGCAATTTTCCGCACTGGTCGGTCATTGCATGGGTGACCAAAAAGGAGATTGCTCAGCTTCCATACATATTTGGCCTAAAGACCAATAATCATGAAAAATAGTTTCCTAGATTCGAAATTATATATAAATTACTGTAGAAACGAATATTATTGACGGACACCCCTGAGAACTTCTTTCTATAAACCATATACACTGAACGATTTTGAGGTTATGTTTGCAAATAGGTACATAGGTATTAAAATAATAAAAAACAAATAAATTATATAGTAAACTAGGGAAATCAAGCCAAGTACCGAAATTATGTATTAGATTCAGGTAGGTTGCCTGTTTTTAAAGTTAATGCACAAGAGTAACTTTTAAAATCAGGTATTATCTATGCATTTCGGGTTATAATAAGGTACTCTGTGACAGAAACTATGTGATAATTGTGAATGAGCCACAGATCAGAGAGAATTTTTAAAGTCTCGTTAACCAAAGAAAGCTATGAGATTTAGGTTATACAGCCATATTTTTAGAATTACCGTATAAATCAATATTTTTTGTGCATTTGGGCCAATTTGAGCAATCTCCTTTAGTATCTCGAGCTCTTCCGTGCTTCGGTGGGCACGTTAAGCTGTTGGTCCCGTCTGCATCTACAGTCGTTAGCACCCACCAATGGATATGGCCGTGATCCACCAATGGTGGATCACGGCCCAATCTCCCTATTTCACCTATAGGGTAGGTATATTGATAAGCTGATGATGTCCGTGGCCAATACGGGTACTTATGTATGGTGCCGGGTTTCAAGATGTCGTCTACTTGTGAGATTCGAATACCGGTAAGGCAAATGTTAGTATGAGGAAAACAAGCATTTGTATCTAAGTCATGAATATGTATTCTATCCGTTACCCTAGTATCCCATAGCACTTTCAGTCCTTGCTTTGGGGCCTAGCTTTACCAATTATTATTATTATTCATTTATGTTTGTTTTTCCACCAGTCCGCGGGGCACTACCACGACGGTGACTGGAGCCCGAACGGCGGCTACATCTACATCACGATCGTGTACAACTTCTCCGTCTCGCTTGCACTCTACGGCCTGTTCCTGTTCCTGGGCGCCACGCGCGAGATGCTCAAACCGTTCGACCCCGTACTCAAGTTCTTCACCGTCAAGTCTGTCATTTTCCTCTCGTTCTGGCAAGGTTAGTGTTACGTCATTATTTATTGTTGTGTTATTGTTTATTAGAGACATAAAAGAGTGACAAAGAATAGACTGGTCAATAAATTTTAAAACTAGACATATCTACAAACATATTTCAGATAGCCAGTACTTTACCATAAAAGCAGTACCATACCACACCATTATCAAAATGTAAACAGCAACACACAAAGAAACCTTTGAGCTTACAGACAAAAAAATATAAATATTGAGTTTATACAATTATAACCTAGGTTTCAAATAATATGTAAAATACGAACTTCCTAATCTGCATCGAGATGTTAGCGGCTGCAGGCCAATGTCACTTGTTCTATCGTTTCGTATATCTTGTAAACGAAATCTCTAGCTGACTTATTGTTTCGTGCACCTTGTAAAAAGAGGCAATCGATAAGGTTTTAAGGGTGAATTCTCTACGCAGGCGTCGCTCTAGCCATACTGGAGAAGGCGGAGGTGATCTCCCCCATACAGGACGCTAACGGCGTGCCCACCACCGCGGGCACAGTCTCCGCCGGCTACCAGAACTTCCTTATCTGCATCGAGATGTTAGCGGCCGCAATAGCGCTCCGCTACGCGTTCCCGGCGCACGTGTACGCGCACGCGCACCGCGACCCGCACCGCTCCGTCACTATGCAGTCCATCTCTAGTAGCCTCAAGGTAAAGTATAATCTTTTTTTTAATTATTTATTTATTAAGAACAACTAAAGCCATTCTAGAATTTACAATTACACAGGTTTATATATCAGATTTGGATCCGACCAAAAATGTTGTTCCTTATTGGATAATAATAACTACGCCAATATGAAATGTTTCATACATTACAACACAATAATATTTAATAAATATAAACATAAAAAGGTTCACTACCTTTTTATGTTTATATTTCTTAAATATCTTAAAAAAGTAGAAGAAAATATAGTACAAATACATATAAGAATATATATAAATATCGCTATGTTTTTTGTTTGTTTCCTCCCAGGCGTGGGAGGGATTGGGTGTGAAATGATCATGGATACCCTACAGCCGGCTATAGGATTATGTCAGACTCTTACTGACTAAAACACACCCGTGGGGGGATGCCTAAGGGCCTAGGGCCATAGGCTTCATCTGATGCGATCAACCCCTGAGAAGGGGATGATGAGTAGTAAATACTAGTGCGCTTAGAGGACGGATGCATTCTGATGTGCACCCGTATCGGTTTGAGACTGAGCGACTGAAGTTATGATTTTGGAAATTTATTTATACCAATATAAGATATTTTAGTCACCCATACGATGACCGGTCATTGCGAAAGGTTAAATCCACGAACGCAATTCAAACGAGCTTACCATCTGCGCCATCTAGTTCCTTCGAATACCAATTTAAATTGAACATATCTGGTTATGTACGTCTTAACCTTTTCAATACTTTGCAAACATCGTCACGAATAGCAAATACGAATAGCAATGTGAAGTGCCGGTATGACAGACGCCAAAAAATACGTTCATCCCCAGTAACATGTTTTATTCCTTATGACTAGATGACGCTAAAATACAGAAATGTATTGCGAATAATTTCTATTGGAAATTCCCTTATTCTAATTGATTGATGTCATGTAATATCTATTATAGGAGACAATGAATCCCAAGGACATAATGACGGACGCGTTCCACAACTTCCACCCGCAGTACCAGCAATACACTCAATACAGCTCTGGTGAGTTCACACGATTGTTGTTTTATCTATATCTAACATAGCGAGTGCTAATATTTATATAAAGTGTAAATTTAATGGCCAATTAAAACAAAAGTGACGCCTATTTAATTGGACATAATAATGAAGAATATGAAAGAAAACCTTTTCTGTTTCCACGTAGCATCACATGTGGCGTGGTACAAAACTTGATCTTTGACAAAGGGATTTAGTAAAATAGGTAATTTCTTCCCTTATCTACACCAATACATACATATGACAAGTCACTGATTGGAATACAAAGCTATTGGTTACCCTAGTACTGTTAACACAACATTAATTATACAATTTCTAAGTTGTGTAAATGTTAGCACTTGCGAACTTTGTTTGCGTTTGCGCATGACTCATATAAGCAAGCCGCCTGCTCTAATTCGTTTGCGTGTTTTGTGGGATCATCTGAGATTTTATAAGGATTGCTTGAGAATTATCAATTATGTGGTAGCTCTTAATATTATTGTCCGTTTTGAATCATATAAACATAGATTCATTTGAGGATTAATTGACAAATTTCGTAATTCTGCATTTAGTTCATTAAGGTTGTTTAGTGTTTTGTTTTTGCTAGTAATTGTGCGGTAACGTATTTTTTTATTTAAAGTCAAAGTTCGTCTTTTTAAATATACATAGACATATTTCATGTAATATCGCGAAGCATGCTTAGAGTAAAAGATTTCAGAAATAGCATCATTATAACTAAACAATATATTAATAACCTTTTTTATCTTTTCCTTTATTTTTTTTACATTGACCTTCATTTATGTAGGCTAGGCCCATCTTATTTGTTTATTTTTTTTATTTTCTTTCAGATGTCACTTCTCAACTGCCTTATGAGAAACTATAAGCTCTGCCATAGCTGTGCTCTGCATGAACTGCATTGATGTCTGTCTGTCCGTTTATTATTACATAATAAAGATCCATATCGTCCAAGCATGGAAATTTTAAACTAACATCCAAATGGCGACAGTTACACTATTTATAAATATTGCGAAAAATAAAATAAATAAATAGAAGCGATACATTAATATAAACAGAATCGATAATAATAAAACTTAGGTATTGATATGGTTAATGTGTCCGTTTGAATATTTTTTTTTCTTTCTATAACTATTGTTTTGGGAATTGTGTATAAACCAGAAATAAAAGTACTTAATTACCAATACATTATTACATAATCCAAATCCACAACTTTGATACATACTAAAAAAGGTTCTTGTTATGCTTATTGTAAGTTTTTCATACTTGTGATTGTTAAGGGTTCTACACACTATCCACTATGCTGGATCCAGTGTATCTTTCACTGGCACGCTGGATCAAAAAAGATATGCGTAGAGGACTTTATATACGATTCCCATAACAAAGTTCAAAGTCTTTTGTAGATTTATTGTAGTTTATAATGTAGTTTATTTTTTTTTCTTCACGTTGTTTAACTGGCGTTCCTACTAATCTATCCCTAGTAAGATAAAAGCTAAGTTTACCAGAATTAAGTTTAATAATTCTCAAACGACGGCACTTTACTTGGCAATTCTGATATGCTATTTGTAAAATCGACAACAGTCTCTCCTTTTTATTCTGTGTAGACTTTGATAAGGACAACCTATTGTCAAAATGACAAATAGCAAACACGAATAGCAATGTGAAGTGCTTTTCTTTCTTTTCTATTATCGTAGTTATAAGTCGCAACACGAAACTCTGGCGCTGACCGTTATTGCGCAGAAGTAATAATTAAAATACATCATGACTCTGTGGTCTCATTGCGAAACAAATTGTATGATCACATATTTCCTCCGAATTCATAATAAAAAATATAAAAATATTTTGTAACAGATTTAAAGAAACACACACACACATACACACTTAATTTTAATTAAATAATATCTGCTAAAGCTTAATGTAATGCATGCTGAGTTCGCCTATAACTGGTTACACATTATATAATTGAATGTAAAATTGTATTAAATAAGATGTATTGATGTAGTAACTGTTGGTGATCCAATAAAGAGAGAAAAAAAAATGTGTTGGGAGGGACGAGGGCGACGATAGGCTCTCCAGTCGTTCCCATGCGCAGCTATTCCCTCCGCCTTATGTTCAGCGCTAGAGTGACGTGCCGCGACCAACGATATACCCAAGATACACCACGCGCGCTCAAAATATGTCCCAATCAAGAAGTGCTTGAACATCACTCAAACACTTCTTGGTTCACAGTCACGCGCGGACCGTTGAAAAGCAAAGATGAAGCGGAGCTCCATAAAAAAAAGAGCGGTGGGTCGTTCTCAAATTTTCTGACGATGAAACGCAACCGTTTTCACTTAAACGAAAACTAGTCCTCGAAACGGTTCTCGTTCGCAACTGGTTTTGGTTGCGGCTGGGTGACGCAACGAAACGACACGCGACGGTCGAACGACTGTAACGCAACGAAACTGAACTGAATGAAATCTTGTTAACGTTCGTTTCGTTGCTGCGAACGAGACGACGAAATATCGAAATAAATTTAGTGTTATACGATATTCGACTTTAAATGTAAACTCAAAGCTTCATTTATTATAGAACGAAAAGACCTCATATCATTGCGTTCTATTATAGACTGTATTTATTTCATCATAAAGTACATATTGGCGTGCAGACAATCCGAGGACTAGTTGTTCGACGAAGACTATTTTGATCCGAAACGTAAAACGGTTCTATCGTCGCGGAACACAAAACGGTCCTTGAAACCGGTTCGTCTTTAGAACGCTCACACCTAGAAAAAACAAAAAAGTACTTATAGTACGTTAGGTGTCGTTTTTTTCCACAGGTATTTAATCAATGTTTGTTAATTTAACTAATTTAATACAAAATTTTGTGATATTGAAATGCATGGTCGGTAATATAGCCGTCTCTTTTCCTCGCGCTCCCAAACTGCTGTTTTGCTAACAGCTCATTCAGAATTGCGGGTAGAGACAAAGAAATAAAGTCTATATTCTTCCGCATATAGCAAAGAGTCGTAAAATTTTACGAGCTTACATTGCGAACTGTCGTATCTCTTTGACGCATGCGTTTATATTAAGATCTTAGACAATATGCATTAAAGGTGACTTTCAATGTTTAAATAATGTCTTATATTGACTTTGACTACGCGATCATCTTACGGAGCTCCGTGGATCGTTCAATGTACCTTTTGGACAGGTTTCGGGCATGATTTTGTTCGTGTTGGTGTATCTGGGGTATTTAATATCGTTGGCCACGACCTGTAATGCTATAGGTAGACCGTTTAACTGATTCCTCGCTTGCGGGGTCAATGGTGTGGGGAAGGACAAGAACGGGGACCGTGAGAGGTGCTGGCGGCAATCTTAGGCATTCTTGTCAAAATTACAAGCGCCCGCCGCCCGTACCTCTCACGGCCCCCTTGTCATCCTCCCCCACACCTCGCAAGGTCCCCCTTGTCATCCTCCCCCATACTTTTCACGGCCCTCTTGTCTTTCTCCCCCACATCCTTTATCCCGCAGGCGACGACTCAGTTAAGTGGTCAACCTATGGCATTAACTACGATAATAGAAAAAAACATTTTACTGTTGGTAGAATAGCAGGAACGGCTGTAATATTGATTTAACTCCCAAGTCGTGCCTTGTAACTTGCGGTGATGCAAATTCGTTCTAAAAAGTATAAAATAATCGGTGCTCGGCTGCGGGACCTTTTAATGTAACTTAGGATTTATTATTAATATTACTTTTTATAATTTATTATTTCCAATCGGCAATTGAGTAGTCCGGTTTTTGGTTACGTTCTGATATCACAATGTGATTTCAGCAAAAAATCAAATGACTCATTCAACAAATGATTAAGATTACTCTATAAAATGTGTGTCATGATAATACTGAACATGGCCTACTAGAACGAGTCGATAGTAATACACCACGCAATTAGTTCAAGAACTACAAGCCACTTAAAGTTTTGGACCTTACAGGGTTGACGTAAAGTCGATTTTAATCGATCATATTATATTTTTACAATAAAAAAATTGCTACATATTAATTTAGACCTTATTTGCAGGCTTGTAAATGCATTATTTTTGCCATTTCGATTCCAGTATAAGCGATACAGCGTTAAGCAAAAATTATTGTCCAACAGTTTATTTGCACAGATAACATAACTATCGTTTTTTATTAAAGATAACCTCGGACTATTCATTGCCATATTGCTTGTGTTTATTCAACGCTTAGGAGGTGTAGAACGATTCTCGCGTAGGTACAGAAATGATTATAATGTGGGAAAGACAGTCTAATAAAATAACCTTGATACGTGTTTTACACGGGAGTTATGCAGGCATTTATGACACTAATTTTGAACTTATGAACGGGCTTTAAATACGCATTGCATGAGACAGTCTGATACTGTGTCAAAATAAATTATCATTATTTTTATGAACGTGTATTTTCTGTACGCTCGCGAGCCCCGGTCGAAGAAACAAGTCTATCACTCTAAGGCGTAAATTGCTTGTACCTAATATCGAGAGTTCATTGTTTTTCCTCCCATTATGGAGATAGAGCAAGCAATTATGTTCTTAAATTGTTAGACCCAACCTATTCTTCGATTCGAAACTAGGAGTTCGTTTCGAAAGTTATATAGATGGATGCCTGAGGGTCAGGTCGACATTTTTAATTTCTTTGTTATAGTTTCGTTTTCTGTGATTTTATTATTTTCTTTTTGTTTTGTACATTTTTATTTTACATTTGTAATAAGTTAGTGGATAAAATCCTTTTGTATTTGTAGGCTAAATTTCTGTAAATTAGTATGTATTAGACTGCGAAAGGGGTAATATTATTGTTTAATGCAAAGCATATTTGGATGTCTCATCCTTTTTTTGGCAGGCTCAGTACTTAGTCTTCTTTCTAGCAGCATTTTGTGCAACAAAATTATTTTATAACTCACCTATTTTTCTAATTTCTGCTTTGACATGATTTGATGATAGAATATCTTCCAAAAGTTCGCGTATGAGAAGTTAACGAAGCAAAAATATGAATAAAAATTGGGTAAAACTTTGTGTTAAATAATATTGTAACCCTTTTAGTCACGTCGAAACCCACATTAGGTTACATTGTTTTTCATTTTTACCGTCAAATTATGGGCATTTTTCAGGTTGTTAAATGATTTTACATTATAAGTCATAAATAAATTCTATATGCGAGAAAATAAATATGCCAATTTTCAAACCAAAGAATGAATGGCAATTTAAGAGATTTTATTTTTGTAAATGATAAAACAGACGCTTTGTAACTAACGCCCTTAATAGCTTCCCAATAAATACCTAATTAGCAAAAACAACCTGTTTATTGCCAAACATAATTTTCTTATCTGCACTGTTATAAAGTTAACAATAATATTGTTTATTAGTAATAAGTTTAATGCCAGCAACATTTAATAAAATATTTTGTTTAAATTAATATAAAACAAAAATCGTAATAATAACTTGTACTAGGCCTCTCACTGATAATAAACAGTTTATTAAATAATCAGCCATGCTTTTATTTTAACTGTCTTGGACATACAGCATGTCGAAATGTCAATAGATTTTGAACTTTATTCTAATGCTCCTATTGTACGGAAAAACGGTTCTACGTCCAATCTCCGTTGACTATGATCAAATAATCTTAACAATAATTTAATCGGAAAAAGACGATTGAAAGAGAAGACTTCATTGGTAAGTAAAAATTATAGAGGTTTTTGGAAAGAGTGCTTTTTATATTTTCTTTGCTAGCATGCTTCTATAGATTAATCATTATTTACCACCAAATAATATAAGTTCACTTAACTCATAGCGGTCACAGAGTAATTCCTAGTAGATTGAAAAGGCAAATCTCATCTACAAATGAGTTTTTGTATCTGGGATCCAACCATTAGGCACCTCGCGTATTAGACGGCCACGACCACGACCGGATTAACTAAAGAAACCATACGAACGTCGTGCACTTGGCCGCAACGGCCAACTATAGTTAATCTGGTCGTTGCCGTCACTGGTCGTGGTCGTGGCCGCAAGGGC